TGAACGAGGCCAAGTCCCTGCCCGGCTCAATTCATTCATTCCACTCAGATATGTTGGGCGCTGGAGACGCAGCGGCCAACCCGAGAGGCTCGATCTCAGGCTTTTCCGGGAGCGTCCTGAAGTGCTGGCTGGCACGGGTTGCAGTGGGAACACTTAATGTGCGGCCTTGGAGGAAGTGACCTCTAAGATCAGGTTGAGAACGGGCTGGATCATCAACCCAGAAAGGGTCTGGCCTGAGAGGGAGAGCAGCCTCGGTACCCGAGGTTCCAGGCAAGGCTGGACAACCGTCTGCGGCCAGGAAGAAGAGCCAGAGCTTCTGGAAACCAAGCAAGCCGGCTTTCCCCAAGGACCTGACCTCTGTCCCAGGGACCCATGAGTACTAGCAGTTTAGGCCTTCACTGTTGTCGGGCTTGCTTGGAGAAGGTAGGGGAGCTGAGCCTGGCTGGTGGGGCTTCACACCTGGACTCTCAGAGGTTAGCACCTAGGGAGGGACTTTAGGGAGAGCCTGGTTGGCCTGGCCTGTCCCCTCCCAAAATGTCATCGTAATTAAGACCTACCTTTCCTGTCTTTCTGTCCAACACTGCATCTCCTTAACAGCTCAGGGAAACTTGGCCAATTTGGTTCAGTGTGGTTTGCTTCCTCCAAAGCATAAGCCCTCAGGGGCAGAAATATTCCCTGCTCCCAGAAGGCCCTCAGGACTAGTAGCCACCTCTGTCTTGGTGGCAGAAGCCTGGGAGCCCAGTTACCCAGGAAGCAGATGCAGGAGGTTGCCTGATTCACTACCAGCTTAGACAACATACTAGTACTCTCAGGGAAAGAGCAGAGAACAGAAGAGGAGGGAGGAATGACCCATGGCCGAAGCCAGAACCAGAGGTATGGAAAGACCATGGCAGGGATGCAACCACAGACAGAAATTTTTCTCCCCCTTAGAGGGGCCAGAAGGCGGGTGGGTGGGGTGGTGGTGATCCCTGGCCAGGGCAATGATACATTTCAATCCCACTTGTCCCTTATCTCTCTGACCTTCAGACAGCCTCTGCTTCTGCCCTGACACCAGCCCACACCAGATGCAGGTCCCAGCTTGCTGGTGTGAAGGGCCCATTTGCTACAGAAACTGAGCGGGGCATGGACCCTGGAAGCTGGCACTCAATTCAGAATGGACACCAAGGAAAGGCCACAGAGAGAGGTCAGAGCTAGCCAGCCTAACCTGAGCCTCCTGCCCAGAGGGAAAACACGGACCAGTGATCGGGCAGCAGGGTTAACATTGCCTTACAGAGCTGTGAACCAGGCCTATCACTCCTCACTCAGGAGGTGGAGGCAGGAGGTTCAGCAGCTCAAGGCCAGCCTTGACCACATAGTGAATTCAAGGATAGCATGAGTTATATGAGATTTAAAAAATAAAAGGAAACCCAGGTGTCCTGCCATTTGTTGGGCACTGTGCTGAAGACGGGGGACACTACGAGTGGACAACATGAGAAATGGCATGTTTCAGCCAGCCCTGTGACATCAACAAAGCCACACCCGTCATGAACACCATACAAGGAACCAGGAGGATTCTGGGGGATACAAGGGTCAGGGAAGTGCCTGGCTTCTCACAGTTATCAACATTGGGCTAGTATTAACTGAGCACCTACTATGTGCCAGGTCACAATAGAACTGACAATTTAGTGATCAGAGGACAATAGAAAGCATGAACAAAAGAGATAATGTGTTCCATAACCTGGGGAATGGCACAAGTAAGATATGTCAGAGCTAAGGCAGGAACAAGGCCAGGGTCTGTGAGCCCCCTGGGAGGGGATCTGGCCAATGACCTGAAGCAGGGAGAAAGGAGTTGAGGACGCTGAGGACAAAGTGAGGCTCTGTGCAAAGCCAGGGCAGCACAGCTGGAACAAGAGAAGTCTCATGGTGGGTGGGTGGGTGGGCGTGAGGGAGGGAGACAGGGCTAATTCATCAACTGTGGCAGATCAGTGAAATAACCAAAAGGGTTTATCCTGGCTCGTGGCTGTGGAGGCTCAAGGTCTAAAGACTGTATCTGGTGGCGGCCCTGCTGGTAGAGCGCCAAGCAAATAGAGGGAGAGGGAGAGCATTTGCTTTCTCTGCCTCCTCTCATAAAAGCCTCCAAACTTTCCAGGCACAGCGGTATATGTCCCTGGTCCCAGCACTGACACAGCTGGGGCTAGAGGCTGACTGCAGGTGAAGAGGGGAAGGCCAGCTAGGACACCAAGTAATAGCTCAGTGTGTGTGGAGTGGGGTGCAACTGAGATAATAGCTCAGCTGACGAAATGCTTGCCTCAGAAGCCTGAGGGTCTGAGTTTGATCCCCACAACACACATAAAAAAAAAAATACGGCCATGGACTGAGGAGACAGTCAATGGGTAAAGCACTTGCCACACAAGTGTGAGACAGGGGTGTGGCTCACCAGCACCCATGTAAGTGTGAGGCAGCTCTCCAGCACCCATGTAAGTGTGAGGCAGCTCTCCAGCACCCATGTAAGTGTGAGGCAGCTCTCCAGCACCCGAGTAAGTATGAGGCAGCTCTCCAGCACCCATACAAGTGTGAGGCAGCTCTCCAGCACCCGTGTAAGTGTGAGGCAGCTCTCCAGCACCCGTGTAAGTGTGAGGCAGCTCTCTAGCACCCATGTAAGTGTGAGGCAGCTCTCCAGCACCCATACAAGTGTGAGGCAGGACTGCAGCTCTGCAGCATCCATGTAAGTGTGAGGCAGGAGTGTAGCTCTCCAGCAACCATGCAAGTTGTAAGACAGGACTGCAGCTCTCTAGCACCCATGTGTGAGGCATATGTGTGGCTCTCCAGTACCCATGCAAGTGTGAGGCAGGTGTGGCAGCCTACCTGTAACCCCAGTGTTCAGCAAGCTGGCTGGCTAGACTCACTTAATCCATGAGTTCTAGATTCCATGAGAGATTCTGCCTTAGTAAGATAAAGTGAAGAGTGGCCAAAGGTGACACTGATGACAACCTGTGACCATGCACATGCACACATGTGCACACTCACCCAACACATACGAATCCACGAACATGTGACCATGCATACATACACACAGCACACATATACACAGTGGGGTAGGAGAGCCAGGCATAGTGGCAAGCACATGACAGGCAAATCACTGAGCTCATTCACTGACCTAGCCTCTGGAGCCCAATAACACACCATCTCAAAAACCAAGGTGAGAGGCTGCTGAGAAATGACACCTGAAGCTGGCCTCTGATTTCACATACACATGTGTGTGCCCACCCACAAACCTGTACACACATGCACACTCATTTTTAAGCCCCCAATGCTGGCTCACAATCATTCATAACTCCAGTTCTAGGGGATCTCATGCCTTCTTCTGACCGCCAAGGATACCAGGCATGTGTGTGGAGCACATACATACATGCAAGCAAGACACTCACACATATAGAATAATAAAATAAATAAGTCTAAAGATTTTTGACCAATGTGAGCCACAACAGGCAAGTTAGAGGTGAGGGCCAGGTCAGAATCATGACAGGAAGGCTCACTCCAGGCAGGCATGCAGAGTAACTGGCTTGAGGACACTGCAATCCAGCCAAGAGCGATGATTGCCAGGCCAGTGTGGCTGGGGAGGACAAGAAGAGCCCTGACCAGAGCCAGACAGTGAAATCAGGAGCCCGGGGCACTGGGTAGGACTGTGAGATGGAGGCAACAGGGATAGGGCAACATATGTGACCTGGGCAGCTGGAAGGGAGGGAGGGGGCAGTGCGTAGGCAGGAAAAGCAAAGCCTGGTGATGGAGAGGTGACAGCCAAGGTCGCTGATAGACATGTACACAGAGGTGCATGGATGAAAGCTGAGGACATATGCACAGGGGTGCAGGGGTGAAGACTGAGGGGCTGATGAACACTGATGCACAGGGGTGCAGGGGTGAAGGCTGAGGCTCTGGTGGACACACAGGGGTGCAGGGGTGAAGGCTGAGGCTCTGATGGACCCAGAGGGTGCAGGGGTGAAGGCTGAGGCTCTGATGGACACATGCAGAAGGATGCAGGGCACAGGTGTAGGAGCCATCAGAGATGCAGGTCTAGGTGGAAGGCATTGTGCTGCAGACAGGGAATGGCACCTGAAACAAGGACAAGGCCACTCAGGGACAGCAGGGACTCTGGCAGGGTAGGGTGTCCTAGAAGTGACTTGGAAGAGGAGCAATTGGGAAGGAGGAAGCCCAGAGTAGTGCAAGAGCCCCTGGAGGCCCTGTGCAGACAGCCTGTTGTCCCCAGGGAAAGAGGACCCTTAGGTTGCTATGGGGGTGGCAGGGAATGGGGGAGGGTGGGGACAGCCCAGCACCTGTGAAAATCGAAATTGGTTGAGGAGCAATTGACTGTGTGTGGTGTTAAGAGGGCAGTCCCAGTGTGAGAGAGGGGTCAAGTGTGGGCCTGCAGAGTCCACTAGAAAAAAGCACTTTTGGGGGCTGGAGATATGGCTCAGTGATTAAGAGCACTGACTGTTCTTCCAGAGGTTCTGAGTTCAATTCTCAGCAACCACATGGTGGCTCACAACCATCTGTAATGTGATCTGGGGTCCTCTTCTGGCACTTACTGTATACATGATAAATAAATAAATAAATAAATAAATAAATAAATAAATAGATCTTTAAAAAAAAAAAAACTGCCTGCTTTGGAAACTCGGGGCCGTTCTCTTCCCAGGGAATGACCCCAAGGCGTCAGAATAAAATCCTGAAAGAAAGAAAGAAAGAAAGAAAGAAAGGAAGGAAGAAAGAAGAAAAGAAAAGAAAAGAAAAGAAAAAAGCACTTTTGGAGTTGAGGACATCTAGGGGGAACAGGGTTGAAGAGAGTCATGAGCTGAAACACAGGATCCAAGATGTCTACAAGACATGCTACTGAGGATGAGGAGTTGCATGCTAAAAAGAAAAGCAGGGTTGGGGTGTACAGCTCAGTGGGCAGGGTGCTGCCTGGCAGGCACAGATCCCTGAGTGTGATCCCCAGCACTTCACAAACACTTGGGAGGAGCTCAGGACCAGCCTTGGTTACTTGGTGAGATTGAGGCTCTCCTGGCTTGTATGAGATTCAGAACCCACATAAAGGTGGAAAGAGAGAGTTGCCCTCTGACCTCCACATACAAACACCTGGAATAAATACATGAAATTAAAACAGAACAACAAATACACTGGTTATACTTCCCGCTCCACGGCTCAGGGAGCATTGTGGGGGAAAGTGGGTCAAAGAAAGGTAAGAGGCAGGCTGGAGACCAGGCTCAGGAGGTAGGAGCACTCCATGCTCTTCCAGAGGACCCCAGTTTGATTCCATGCACACACAGAAGCTCATAACTGTTTGTAACTCCACTACCTGGAGAGCAGACTCCCTCTTCTGGCTTCCTTGGATATTGCATGCATGTGATAAATGTGTACAGATGCAAACACCCACACAGATAAAACAAAATAAAAATAATTTTAAAAAATGTCAGTGCAGACAATAAGGAATAGAACCAAGAGAGGTTGTCTTATGGGCATGTATATAAATGATATTGTTAAAATTAATTTTTACAAAGATGGTATGTGTAGGTATTTTAAAAGACGGGATTTTGAAAAATTTGGTTGTTTGTTTTGAGACAGGGTCTCACTATGTAGCACTGGCTGTCCTGGAACTCACTCTATAAATCAGGATGGCCTCGAACTCACAGATATCTGACTGCACTTGCCTCCCATTAAAGGCCTGTGCAGCCATACTATGCTTTTTAAAGGAGCATTTTTACTTTATGTGTATAAATGTTTGTCCTGCATGTGTGTCTGTGCACCATGTGTTTGTTTGTGTTATGTTCCTGTTGCTCTTGGAGGTCAGAAGAGGGAAATGGATCACCCTGGAACTGAGTTGTGAGCTGCCACATGGGTGCTGGGAACTGAACAGACAGTGTCCTTAACTGCAGAGCCATCTCTCTAGCTGGTCACATTATTTGGCTTCTGTGTAAACAGCATGAAGAGGAAGAGGAAGAAGAAAAAGAGGAGGAGGCCCTCCTGAGCCACAGGCACACCTGAGAGCTTGTCCTCTGCCACCCAGACACAGGGGATCAGAATGAGATGACCCATGGCCTGGGAGAATATAAAAACCCACCCTTGGCCGGGCATTGATGGTGCACACCTTTAATCCCAGCACTCGGGAGGCAGAGGCAGGTGGATCTCTGTGAGTTCGAGGCCAGCCTGGTCTCCAGAGCGAATGCCAGGATAGGCTCGAAAGCTACACAGAGAAACCCTGTCTCGGGAAAAACAAAAAAAACAAAAAAACAAAAACAGTACGGGTTGCTCTTCCAGAGGACTTGAGTTCAGTTCCCAGGACCATCACCCATAACTCTGGATTCAGGGATCCAATGTGTGGGCACAAGCACACATGCACGCACACAATAATAATGACAACAACAAAGGAATCTT